AAGAAAAACAACAAACGGCAAAGTCTTCCCACATTTGCTATGTAAATGGCATTTAAAATTTTGTCATTTCCAATTTTCATTAAATTCTGCAAAATTGGTATTATTTTGATAGGGGTTTAGAAGGATTGGGAGTAGGGTTGAAGACATGCATTACTTCTATTCGAATTTATGTATCAAGAGTGAAATATTTTCTTTCAGCTATGAAACATTTTAAAACCAATTTCAAAGTAAAAACAGTAATAAGAACCAGACATTCAAGTTGAAGTGTTACAAAGTTTTAGAATGACTAAACCAACATTAAAAAAAAATAATGGCACATATTTTAGTTTTTGTTTTTTCTAGGGTAAAAAAAACACACACACACAATACTTGCTGCTCAGAATGATTTTAAAATTTCTATACTGAAAATGGCAAAGGCAGAGTACACAGGAATAATAAGATATGAGTTATTAAATATAAGGCATTATTGGCCCTGGATGGTTCACTTTTGGGCTGAGATCATGTTACAATTCAAATGTTACAATTTGTGCTGACTGACTGACAAAACTCTGGAGAAACCAGATTCTTCTTCAAGCTGTGCCATGTTGGAATTCGCATGAGACTCCAGTTGACATGTGCCTTCTCACCATGTAAATAGAGAACTAGTTCCTGGAGCTTGCCACACTCCATAGGTCATGCTTAATTCTTCTAAAGGAAGAGAACAGTACCCATGGCCTGAGGAGGAGGGGAAAAGGTCTACTTTTTAGGAGCAGATCCTCAAAACGTTGTTGCCATGTTCCCTTATTAAATAAGCAAACAAACACGTATCTCATTTAATGTATTTATAAACCATATTAGCCTAACAATGTGTATTCCAAAGCATACACAAAGTGGAAAAATTATGAATATCAAACATGACAGTAAATTTTTTTCTATTAATAAACCCTTTTTGTTTTCTAATATGTAAAATATATAAAATGCCAGTGATAGTAATATGATGAATACTTGACATTATTTTTGTAAACTTTGGTTTAATCATTTTAATACTCTGTAAGAGTCCCACTTGAATGTCTGGTTCTCATTACTGTTTACTCTGAAGTTGGTTTTAAAATGTTTTATGGCTGAAGAGGATACTTCACTTGGATGCATGGATTCTAGCAGACATGCTCTTTTGGCTGCACACACAAATTTATAAGGGACTTATGTTTCAATTGTATTTACCTTTTATGCAAAAGTTTCTTGTTTAGATGTAGCTGGTAAATAAATTCTCATCTTCTCTGATGGAAACCCATCCTTCTGCAAACTAATTAGAAGTTGTTGCATTAAGGAAAGAAAAAAAAATGCTTGAAATGTTCCCTTTGGAATGTTTAAAAAAATAGACTAGAAAGCTCTTTTCCCAACAATTTACAGAATGCAGATGTGAGGGCTACCAGAGGTGGCAAACTTAAAACAGTTATTGCAACARAATCACATAACAACGAACATGTGTGCAATTACTCTATTTCAAAATGTTCTAACTGTGGCATGCAATATCAATAATCTTTTGAAATGCATTTTCTTTTTCATTTATTAAAATATACTCCCTTCTTGAAGGGACAGTCTATTTATCTGGAAAAAAAAAGCATGTTCTTTAAAAAGCACCTGATATAAACAGTCACTTTCCATCTCAGAAATCTTAGCAAGTTTGGAATTTTTCTGTTTTTATAAGGGAAAATTATGTAGTATGTGTTTAAGTTTGACAACTTAAAAAGAATCTTTTGCCACAACATTACCAAAGTATCTCAAGGTAGTAAAAATTTTTTTAATTACATCCTATCTCATTACAAAAATGATCACGATATAACCACAATGAAGCTCTTATTTCTATAGTTAACCATATGGACTGGCTAGCATCCTGCTGATTTCTGTGTGTTTTTGTCTTCAATGTATTCATTGCAGTATCTTGCCTATGACTGACAAAGTGATGGATCTCATGTGTAATGCTTTTAAAACTTCTTATCAGAGTAGCTGCCTTATTAGTGGTTATACTTACAGTTTTCTTATAGGACATTATTATTAATTAAAAAGCATCTTCTTACCAAAAACATTTTTTGGTATACTTTATAATCAGGCAAAATCTAGCAAATTGTATAAGCTGAGTTGTGGGAAACATCTGTACTCATATCTAAGTGTATAGAAATCGTCTCACACAATTTAATTTGCTGAATATAGTTGTTTCTTAAAATATCTAGCAGAGTCTAGAACAGTTTTATTCAGAGAGGAATGCATTTTTTGCTTTATTTTTGTGTATTATTTATGTCATTTAAAAATCACTTAGTTACTATGTAATGCATTTATTTTCCTATTAAATAACAATATTAAAAAAGTCTTCTAGTTTTATCATTGGTGAAATTTTGTGAAGGATTGGAATTGAATATGGCATGACTGTAAACAGAAGAAAAAATTGTTACTATCTTGAGGTGCAGCAGATATTTAGAGTGGAGGTCATTCATGGTCAATGTTAGTGGATATAGATTCATATTTTAAATGCTTTCTTGATAAGTTAGAATTTGAGGTTATCAACTTATCAGTGCTCTTGGGTTGGTCATTTTTATTTCATAGTGTGTTTGGCAAACAATTCATACTGGGAATTCATATTAGGAATATTTTATCATATTCTTGTTAGGTTATCTTTATTTTGAAGWTTCTTTCCCAACCTTTTGAAGCCATTGGTATGGTCTGTAAAGTGAGTTCATTATAAATTGGTGATTATCATTCAGAAGCTCATTTGAGTGGGTCCATGTACACCTCCCCAGGGCATAACACGTTAGAAATGGGAGCTGTCGTCAAGCCCTTGACCTTGTGTGAACCTCTGTTGCCCGTCAAGATGACTCATGGAATATAGCTTGTGATGTTAGAGGCTACCATGCCAGCAATGCGTATGAAGTATTAGTAAAACTCAATATAAGTGGTTTCAGACAAAATAAATAGAAAGAGAGCTTTTCCTATTTTCTTCCTTGCCAAGTGCATCCTCTGGGAATTGCTATACTAAATGCCATGTGTCTGCCTTCTTAAGTCAAGTCCCCAAAGAACTGCAGTGGGACTRTGGCCTGGGACCCAGAGAACCTGGGCTTCAAAGTCGGGGAACAGGCAGGAATGTGACTGGAGTAGGGAGCCGCAGTGAAGAGGCAGCGAGTCCCCTGTGTGTGGTRCTCAGAATCCTCACCCAGCCTGCCCTTCACTTTGTCCTGATCTCTTTGCTGTTGTTTCTTTGCCTGAAACTTCGTGAGGGCTGGACCACTTTGTGGTCGCCTGACCATAGTTGTCGTTCAGTGAGCGATGCCACGTCTTTTTTGTTTTGTTTTATTTTTTTCTAATCAGGAAGCCAGTTTCTGGCAGTTATTCAAAAATTATTTTTAGTTTTTAATTGTGGCCGAATAAACATAACAATTTACCATCTGAACCATTTTTCAGTGAACGGTTCAATAGTGTTAAGTACATTCATGTTATTGTGCAACAATTGCCCTCGTTTATCCCAAGAACACTTCTCCTAGTGCAGAAAACTAAAACTCCATATCCATTAAAATCCATTAAATAATAAAGTCTCCTTTCCCTCCTGGTAACCACCATTCGACATCCAGTTTCTGAGTCTGACTGTACTTTTGATACTTCATACAACTGGAATCATGCAGTATTTGTTCTGTCTCATTCACTTAGGATGATGTTAAGCTTCATCCACACTATGAATAATATTCCACTGTACATATAGTCCACATTTTGCTTATAGATGTCTGTCCATAGACCCTGCAGGGCAGCACCTGCAGAGGCAGATGTAGGGCACACAACCAGCAAAGAAGTTGGTTAGCTTGACAGTGAACTGCATGCCTCCACTATGATCCTGTGGCTGGAATCTCTTGTATCTGTGAAAGAGGAAACTAGAACCGAGTTGTTACTACATCTTCTGCTTCATCTGCACAGACATAGATCTGATCTTGATGTGGCCTATGAGTCAAATGATAAACTAAGGCAAAACTTTCAAGGTGCTTCTGTTCCCTTCCTTGGCTTTCTGAAATATTCGTATTCTGGGAGCAGCCCGTGGAATAATGCCTGAGGTCATAGGTTTTCCTTATGTGGGGAAAATATTATGAAGGAATAAAGGTGGAGTAGAGATATATGTGTGTATATTTAAATTAAAATTATTTCTATGTTGCTTCATAAATACTACGTGTACTGTAATGAACTTACTGTGTTTTTTATTGTGGTGAAACTTAGATAAGTTTACCATCTGAACCACTTTTGAGTATACAATTCCAAACTGTCGTGCAACCACCATCACGATGCATCTTCGAGACATTTTAATCTTCCCAAATGGAAACTCTGCATCCATTGAACAATAAGCCAAGCTCCTGCCAACCTCCATTCTACCTTCCATCTCTATGAATTTGGCTGTACAAATGGAATTAGGTGGTATTTGTTCTCTTRTGATTGGCTTATTTCACTTAGTATAACATCCATGTTGTCAGAATTTTATTCCTTTTCAAGRCTGAATGATATCCCATGGCATATGTATGCCACATTTTGATCATCCATTTTTCAGTTGATGACATTAGGGTTGTTTCTCCTGGGGCTATGGTGAACTGTGCTGCTATGAACATGGGTGTCAAATATCTAGGTCCCCGCTTTCAATTCTTTTGGTACTTCATACAACTTAGAGGTAAAATTATGGTATCATATGCTTATTGTATGTTTAATTTTTTGAGGAAAAGTCATATTGTCTTCCAAGGGAAAAAAAATATGGATAGCAACTCATTCCTTTCTTCTCTCTGTCTGTCTCACATCCTGGGGAATCAAACTCAGGGCCTCCCACTGAGCTAAACCCCTCGCTTTTTCTCTCTTCTTTCATAAAGTCTCTGCAGTTTTCCAATGATTTTACTGCTCCCTCCAGGATGTCGATAACTCAACAGTGGGCCACAGGGAGCTCTGCTGACTGGTTACATCGGGCCTCCTGCGATAACAGCTCTTGTTTGTTGTCATTGCAGATGCAGAAGCCATGGAGTTGAGCTGCAGTGAAGTACCTCTTTATGTAAGTCCCTAAGCTTTGGACTTCAGGTCCAAGTGGCCCTTTCTTCATTCAGAACYACGTGAAACTGAAGTGGAGAGAAATGTTTTACTTGCTATTGAGTTGGGCTTTTTTAAAACAACACACTGAGCATTACTGTCTACTTCAAGTATTTGCACGGAGCCTTTTAAAACTGGTTGGCTCCTGTTTCCAAAGTCTGCGTTTTAGTTAGATTTCCTTCATAGTAATTTTTTTTAACTGTATGGTTTCTGGATTCAGAAGCACTCAGTTCATGTACATGGGTGATTTTTGAGAATATTATTTTATGATAAGAGTAAAAAATGTTTCTGTGTGTGTCTTTTGGGGAATGGTTTGGTGATAATTGTGTCAGCAAAAATTATGAAATAGGAATTCAAATGGCAAAGTTCTGGGACATGTACAGAATCAATAGGGGGCTGTGGGGCAGAGATGCCTAGTGAAATTCTTAGTTAGGCATTTCTTCTGGGAAGAAGGAGGATTCTGTTTTTGAGAACAGTTCCTGGGTACAATAGGGAAGTGAACTGATTTTCTCTTCACACACAAAATGGCAGATAGTCTTGTCTGTCCTTCTTTGGGAAGCTGTGTTGGTGGGGGCTGGGCCTGGGCAGGGGAGTAGGGACATGTGGGGGAACAGTGTTTTGAAACAAAATACTAAGGGACTGGAASAAATTCAGAAACCTCAATTGATGAAAATATATTCATCCACTTCCCACATTTCACCTCCCAGCTAACATGGACCCCTCCTTCCCTTCCCCATTTCCTGCCATCTTCTCTCTCTTCTTCCACACCCACTGTACAGGTCACTCCATCCCCTGGAGGAAGAAAAGATAATAAAATAAATGGGTTTCAGAATAATAAAAAGCGCTGCCTTCTGGGTTACCCAGTGGTCTGCAGTTTTCTCTCTAGATTGTGATTTGCAGGCTATAAAAGGTATTCTGGCTCAGCCATAATTAAAGATTAAAAAAAGACTGGCCCAAGGCTAAATTGTAAAGTACTACCAAGTCTTACTGTTCCTTTGTGTGTGCATGCTTTCTTTCTCCTTTCTATATTCATTTCATCCTACTCCCCTACTTCAAAATGAATGATCCTGAACCTAATCATGATATATAACTTTGAAGTTGATCAATCCTGGTGGAGCTAGTTTGAACAGAGACCTACTAGATTAGGGTCAGATTAGGGGGAGAGGCAGTACACAATGTCCAAGGAAAGAAGACATTTAAACAAACAAAATAAAAATGCACAAGTTTTTCTAATTATTAAACAATATACTGATTAGAATAAGATGAAAAGTGTTTAGGAAAATGAGCTGTCATGGCATATACTTATTATTAAAAATTAATATATTATCAATTCTAAGGGGTTAGCTTTCCCCCCATTTTACTTTTGAAATTGAGGTGTTCTTACATTCACTGTGCATCTTGGCAGATTCTTTATCAATGCAATTGTGACCTTGGTCACAGTGGTTTAATTTTGTTATCACTGCAGTTTACTTATGTTCTTTGTTTATATTATAGGAATTAATTGCTTTCAAAATRATTTCAGCATTAAATGGCAAAGTTATTCTATATACAGATATGATAACAGTAGCATGATATATGATAAAATCTACAAATTAATTTAGAAGAGCTTGTTTGATATGTATACAATAAAATTCTAGGTGATTAAACATTACATCATACTTACTCAGCATTTTTAGTGGAATATAAAGTGCATATTATAACTGATGATGGGTTAGATGAAATACAGAAACTATATTAACATGCTTCCTATGTGTATGAATTATATTCAGCTTTTTTCACTTGACTTTTTTTTTTGTCAAAATTATCACAAACTGACATATRTCCAACTGTCCATTTGGCCTTACCCAGTAAGACATCAGTAGAATGTGTTATGATGGAAACTCATTTTAAACCAAATTCCACCAAATAAGTGACAGGCATATGGTGCAGCCCCCAAAACTGTACTACAGCTCGTTTTATATCTTGAAGGACCGCTTCTTCCTCTTTGCCCTCCTATCTTCAGAGATTTGATAAATATCATCATTGGCCCCTGAATTCATGGGCTATGCATTCATAGATTCAACCAACCACAGATTGAAAATATTTGAGAAAAAAATTGCATCTGTACTCAACATGTAGACTTCTTTTCCATGTCATTATTACCCAAACAATACAGTACAGTGACTATTTACACAGCATGTACATTRCATTAGGTTTTATAAGTAATCTAGAGATGATTAAAATATACAGGTGACTGTGCATAGGTTATATGCAAGAACTGAACCAGTTGTATAAGGGCTTTGAGCATGTGTGGTTTTGATATCTGCATAGGGTCCTGGAACAAATCCAAGGTTCTGAGGATGGAGCCCAGAATGTATTCACACTTTTTTTGGTGGGAGCCGGAGTACCGGGGATTGAACTCAGGGTCACTTGGCCTCTGAGCCACATTCCCATCCCTATTTTGTATTTTATTTAGAGACAGGGTCTCACTGAGTKGCTTAGCACCTTATCAATGYGGAGGGTGGCTTTGAACTTGTGATTCTCCTGTCTCAGCCTCTGAAGCAATGTAATCACTCTTAGATTCTCCTAGTTCACTGAATTTATATATTTAATGTTTTTTGTAGTTTTATGTATTATATTTTATACACATATGGTCATAAAAATAAGAAGTAAACTTAAACTAAAAGAAAAAAATCAAAAACCTCATGTTTAGGACCGGAGCTATAGCTCAGTGACAGCTCAGTGACAGAGTGCTTGCCTAGCATGTGTGAGGCACTACTGGATTCAATCCTCAGCACCACATTGAAAAAATAAACAAATAAAATAAAGGCATGTTGTCCATACACAACTACAACTTTAAAAAAACCCTCGTGTTTAATTTCATTATGAATTATAAGCACTATTGACATTTTGATATATATTCTCCCAGAGATTTGTCTATGTCTSTGTTGAATTTTATCAAGTGTTCTCTTGGCATTTATTTTGATGATATAATGTTTTCTTGTTTGATTGTGATATATTGGATTTCTTCATTTTGATGCTTTTGTGTACTTCTGACAATCCTRTTTGGTTATTATGACACGTCCTTTTGGGAAAAAAAACAAGTTAAAAATAATTGTGTCAAGTATATAATTCAAGTGTATAGTTAAGATCTCACCAAATTACCAATTCTGAAGAGCCCGTAACATATTAGGATGCTATCTTAAAAGCATGTCTTAATACTAGGCATAATTATGTACTGATGTCTGAGAAAAAAATCTCATTACAATACTATTTTTAAAGCAAATAAATGAACACAATTTATCTCCTGGAGAATTAGATCACCTAAATAGGTCAATAATTCCAGAGGAAAAAATTAGTAGAAATTATTTCCCAACTTCTGTCTACCTTCTCAGAAAAGGGTACCTCATTCAGATAGTTTTATAAGTGATTTTAAAATTCCCTTTGACTCTAACCTGTTTTAACTGAATTATTATTCTTATAAAGCACTTGCCTATCATGTGTGTGACACTGGGTTCAATCCTCGGCACCAAATAAAACTAAATAATAAAATAAAGGTGTTGTGTCCATCTACAACTAAAAATATTTAAAAAATTCTCCCCCATTGCATTTTTGGGTTACTATAAACCCTTTCTAAAGGGTTTAAACATATAGACAATAYATCCATTTAAATCTTTTTTATTCCCTGTGTTTTTGCTTGGATCCATGAAGAAACATTTCCATTTTCTTTCTTATTTTTT